TGTTTTTCTTTATTCAAACAAGAGAATGCTTCCTTGTGTTTTTCGCAGCAAAATGGAACATGATTTTGGTCCATGTGTTTTTCTTTATTCAAACAGAAACAATGTGAGTCCATTGAGAAATGATTTTGGTCCATGTTCCTACTGTTTGATTCAATGTGTTGCTGATGATGATCATAATGTTCTTTATTCCTACTGTTTGCATTCTCTATTGTTTGCAATATGTTCCTATAGAAAATCAGATTCATAGATMTTATGTTCCTACTATTTTGTTCCTACTCCAGAGGGCTTGGAGTGGAAATTCTCTCAGGTTTTTGGTGAACGTGCAGCAGGAGAAGAGGTTCAAGAAGGTAYAGTAACATTYCATCGATCRYTATTATTTAATAATCGTAGATCATATTAGTTTATATCGATCTGTTAATCTCTATTGTATTGCCTTGCATATACAAGTTTGTGTATTTAGTATCTAATTTTAGTGTGTTCGGGTGGTGAGTTTTTCTTGTTACATACAGAATGTAGGGAGTAAACTGAAAGTACATAATTTTTGAGTTTTAAAGGTTGGAATTCTGATATTTAGGCAAGAACATAGAGGGCAAGTTTGTGTTTGTATTTTCATACAGTTCAATCTTTGATGATCTTCTTCTTCTAATAGGTGAAAGYTGTTTCAACAATAGTGGCATATCTATACAAGTTTGGGGTTTGGGGCTGAAGTTTGTTTAAAACCTCATAGCACATGATGCTGTAGCCTCACCAGCTCTGAATGAGATTCTTGCCACCCTAAAAGATGTAAGTGYTGTTGTATCTTTYTTCCTAATTGTTCATTGTTTTGTACTGCAAAGGGATTTGATCCATGCAACAGTGTTCTACAATAAGTGAAACAGTTTGGTTTTGTATATTTGTGTCACTAAAGCCTTAATTTGTTTTGTCCATCTCTTTAATTTTCTGAAGGTTTTCATTTTCAGGTTACCAAGTTAGTGGAGATTCAATGCTTTGTTGTTCTTACTGTTATTGCTATAAGACAATTTATTATCATTGGTTTCTAGAATTACTTTTAGAGGAAGGTAACAAAATGGAAATTTGCATTAGTACAGCGACTATAAAAAAGAATGTGATATATTTAGAGCAGCTTTTTCTTCTTAATTTATTTATTTTACCTATGTTTAATGTCAAGACCCTCTTGATTTTTGTTTATACGAATATAAGTGCTGAGTGTCATGTAGGCCAAGAAGGCTAATATCAATCCTTGCAGAACATAGTAAAGTAAGCGTGCAAACATGRTAAACTAACATAATCTGATGATCATTTCATTTGCCTGTGTGTACCTGCACCAAACTTGTCGTCCATCGTCCCAYCGCTGCCGAATCGTTCAATCGCCTTCAATCGTCGCTCTCCAATCGTTCCTCAATCTCTTTCAGGTATGAACAATTTGTTTTTAGGTTTTGCTTTTGGGTTTTCGCTTTAGATTTCTTCCTCTTAATTATCAAGTCTTAGCAGATACTCACCTTCCATTTTGTCTATTTCAAAGAGTTACCAACCACTTACTTAGTCTGCATTAATGCAAGACATGTCAACAGATACACACTTGCAAACTATACATGCTTATCAAAAGCAGGGAAGTGTAGAGCCTCARTGGGTGCTTGGTTGAAGGTTATGGGATACAAGGAATGGAATGAGATCAATACAGTTGGTTGACTTGGTATAACAGAATGGCCTATTAAACCCATGGCAACAATGAAATTCTTCCAACAGCAGTGAAAACCCCACTTGAAAACTCCATTGACGATGAAATTACGGGTTTTGGATGATGTGCTTGGGTGAAACAATTCTTTGGGTTTCAATGCCTTTTTGAAACANCGGTTGAGATTGAGTTGTATTAGTTGTACAAATGTAAACTTCTATAAAATCTCATATTCATCAAATTAAATGGACGGTTGAGATTGAGTTGTATTGGTTGTACAAATATAAATGGTTGTATAATAACTCMCCTCTCTCTCTMTCTCTCTCTCTATATATATATATATATACTTAATATTATATTAAAATAGAGTAAATTACATTTTTCATCCTTATGGTTTGTTAAAAATTGTGATTTTTGTTCTTGTAGTTTAGATATTATGGTCTCTGTCCCTATAGTTTGAAAATCCTTATTATTTCCGACCTTATAATTTATAAATAATTGTTGTTTCAGTCGTTGTGGTTTACAATTCTTTACCATCTTGGTCCCTTGTACTTGAAAAGGTAAGAATTAGTTTAGAGACAAAAATTGTAATTTATAAACCATAGAACGAAAATCGTAATTTTAAACAAACCATAGGGTTGTTTGGCAGTTGTTGAATGGTTTGGTGTAGAATGATTAAGTGATCATAATGATTAAGAGATTCTTATGATATAGTGTAAAATAGAATATAATTGTTCGGTAATTGTTTACAATGGAATTAGGATGCTAAATGGTTAATGGAGACCCATGATAAAAAAAAATCATTCAGAGTTTTAGAGCCATTAAGAAATAGATTTTTTTTTACCAAATAAAATTCATCTCTTAACGATTCTTAATATAACTATTAAAAAGTAAACAAATAACCCTTAAAAATTATTTGTACGAAGTCTCCGGTTGGTGGTTCCCAATATTGAGTTGACTTTTAATTCGGTCAAACTCCTACGTCTTTGATAACCATGTTCTACCTGCTCCTCTCATTTTGACTTTTAGCGCGTTACTTAATCTTACTTTGGATTTTTGGGTGAAATACTTATTTGTTTATTTTTTATCTTTTATTCAATTAAAAATAATAAATATCAAATTTATACTTGAATTTTATCCAATAAAAGACAAAAATTTACTTATAAAAACACTGAAATGTGACTCATTTAATAGAGTTTTAAACCACTGTTAAAATAAAGATTAAATCCAGACATTTTTACAAACCACAATAATCATCTTATAGTTTCAAATCAGATGCAAAGTGTAAACCAGAAATACCAACTTTGTAGTTTACTCTAATATTTTACTAGTTTTTTTTAATATTTATATCTATATTATTGACTTATAATTTTTTTTTAAGTATTTATATACAATATTAACATTATAATATTTTATGATAATTTTAATTATATGCGGTCCCTATTCATATTATGTAACGTGTGACCTTGACACCAAAAATATGGTATATATTTACATTAACAAAATTAATTACGCATGCAATCACAACAATAATAAATCATTAAGCTCTACGATTCCGCCACATGAACCGGAGAAGGCGAGTTCCGGCAAATTGGACACGACCCGTTCATCTTAAGCCACTCGTCGATACATTCCGAGTGGAAGCAATGCCGACACTCGGGTATACACCTCACCGTCTCCTTCACATGGTACTCTGATAAGCATATTGGACACACTCCGTCATCGTGTCCCGGAAGCCGCTTGCTTTCGCCAAGAACCACCTTCGTGTACGACTCGATGGTTGCTTGGTCAAGACCAATCACGTTCGGTGGTGTAACCACCGCATCAGGAAACACCATTGTCGGGGCATTAAAGACAGTGCGTCTGCGGTTGCTGATGAGTTCATTTCTTCTATCCTTGGTACACATGAAACATGCAATCGCAAGGGAGGCAGCCATTGCCGGTATCGCCATGGCAAATGCTATGATTCTGAACACCTGAGACCCTTTTGGTATACCTGTAGCAAAATCCGAAAATTTAGAGGTTTTAGACCTCTGGCGGAAAAAATAACAGGAACCAATACACGACTGTTTGATTGATAGTGAATGATTAAGTGGTCTGAATGATTAAGAGATTGCGTATATGATTTAGTGTAGAATGATTAAGCTTACCACCGTTGAAGAAACATTTTGTCGATTGTGTGGTACTATTTGCATAACCACAAGAAACATATTCTGCTTCACAAATTTCACAATCAGGTTTACTCCATGTCAGAGTTATATCTTCCTCAACGTTTGAAGAAAGCTCATTCTGATCCGGTGGCTCTGCCACTGGCATCCTTAAATTCCCGGTGATCTGACAACCCGTCTGATTACTGGTCATTAACGCCACAAAACTCATTGAAGCAGTAGCAATAGTCAAAAATGACGAATTACTGAGGCACGAAACACGGGTATAACGAGCCAAACTCGCATCATTCGGACAGCTCAAAAGGGTGTAGTTCTGAAAGTAAGAAGCCGCAAAAGGGGAACCAGAGAGATCGAAATTCAAAAGCCTAGCAGGAAAGCAATTCGAAGGATCATAAATCTGCATTCTTTGAGAACGGTAATCAATAGCCCTGACGCCAAACTCACCAGAGCTCGGTAGGTTGATGAGCACCAGACGTGGACTGATGCAACGTAGATCAAAGCCCGGAAAACCACATCTTTGGGGTTGTGTGTCGATCAAACGGAAGGGGAATCGGACATTGGTGAAAAATTGACCGCAGTGGGAAACAGGGCAACTGTTTGATGCTGCCGAAGGAAGAAGAGGGATCAAGATCAGGAGCAGATAAAAGAGAACTGAGGATGCTTCCATGGATGTTGCTGTTAAGGAAGATGATGATGAAGAAGAAGAAGAAAAAGGAGTCTTAATGGAAATATAAGAAGAATGCAGAAGTCAAAAGGTTAGGGGTTGAGATTGTAAACACGTAGTATATTCATCATCCAAACAACCAAGTTTTAGAGATGAGACAAATAATAATAAGTCGTACATAACATCGCTATCATCATCCTGTCAAACCATTTCTTTCAGAGAATAATTCTTTGGGTCGACGTCTATCCCTGTATCTTCTTCAACCCAAATAACTATTCCGCAAGGGGTAAAGAGGTAATTACACATAGCATGGCCATGGACTTGACCGAAGAAATCACCAACTTCCAAGAAAGAAGATAACCTGAAAGTGTCGTTCATCATTCATACCTCAATAACATATTCCAAATTCCCTTTTTTTCATGAAAAAGAATATGTTAAATGTAATATTAATTTGCCTGAAAAATAAATCAAAAAGGACTGAAGATATATTTACATGCTATAAGAACACAAAAAGTAAGTATCCCGCTCGTTTAGTTCATGAAATTTCGACAATTCCGAGATCTGCATAAACACGGGACTTTAACTTCATCCTGCTCATCTTCATCAAATTTGTAATCATACCTGTTATATTCAAAACAAATGAAAATAAGTGATCAACTTTCCAACCATACTACCTGGTTTTTGATGTAAGCAAATTATCACCTGGTTTTTGATGTAAGCAAATTATCATTCTTGCAAAATATATAATTAAAAAACACGCCATTAAGTTTCATTTTATGGGTTTCGGCTTAATATGTATAAGGTATGTTCGGGAAAAAATAAAAAAAAAAAAAAAACGAAAAATTCAGTAACATTCTGATAACCCATTTATATGTAAATATGCACATGTGCATACAAGTAATGTTTCTGATATGCACGTGTGTATACCATACAAATGAATGATTCTTAGTTCTTTTTTCAGGGGATTTCCCCCAAACTGAACTCTCTCTCTCCCTCCATATATATATATATATATATAGAGAGAGAGAGAGAGAGAGAGAGAGACATCTTCACATGATGCAAATACCCACAAAAGTGAAACTGAAATAAATAAAGGAACATTAAACATCTCAAGTTCAGGCATGTGAAAGGTCATACGTTAACTCATCACCAGCCGCAACGTTGGTTTTAGCTATGAGGACTATCCGACTCTCGTTTTCACCCATACTCAAAATCCTAGCATAGCAGTTCGGCATGCACTGCAGATAAAGTAGCAACACAATTGAAATTTTTAGTGCTTTGCATGATCAAGACAATATCAGTATCATACGAAACAGGAACCTTACCGAATGGTTGATTAAGCGTGCCATGTTACCCTTGTTTGTGGCATCAATTACAATATCCTCACTGATCTTAAAGAGCTACAAAAAACAGCAGCTTAATCACAATCAAGACTAGAAAAAACATATTATTAAAGATATCCAAAGCAAATAACTTGAATGTCATTTATGGTAATGATCACCAAAAATCGACTCACATAGCAATCTTTGCCTTGAGACCTATATTGCACCTCCCTCAAATCTGCAACACTGCCCCTCACCTGCTCACCACGGTATTCAAGAACCTGCAAACATAGGGATGACTCCAACTAATAAAAATTTGACGCAATTCTATATGGTAAAAATAGTTTACCTTCCATACATATTGCACGACTGTAAGCATAATTTGCCAAAATCATACAATTAGTAATTCCCAACTTATGACATACAAGATGAATCATGTTGCCAAACCATTTCTATATAGACCAATTGATGATAATATTCAACTCTATGAAATCTAATGAAAATTACTGCCTTATTGGTGCAATTTTCATGAACTTGTGTGCAAAGTATATCAATAAAGAACTAATTAGCAGGTACATGAAAAGGAATTAAGGTTAGACACAATTACCATTTCTCCTTCTTGTATCTTCCGGCGTGCAAAGAGGCCCCATCCATGTATTCCAGATTTACCAAAACAGATACGATGTTTTTCCATCCTCTGAATTTATTATACAGATGAATAAGAATGATACACAAGTCCACATATTAGCAAAAACCGAGGGGCAAGGAGGATACCTGTAAACTGTCAAGCCGTTCCTTGAACGTAGAACAAGTATTCAAATCTTGAACTTCCTGTAGAAAATACATTAGCTTACTAAATTAGCCAGTCCAGCTTGCAAATATAAACAAAATTAAGACGAAGATATTTGTAGATTAAAAAAACAACCACCATAGATCGGTTAAATATTAAAAAAGACAGGATGTGTTGAGTAAAGAGATTACACTGTGAGGGGTTAAGCAATCTATAGCATCTACAGGATGCTGGATTGGGCCCATTAACCGGTGGAATAATGCCTCCTTTACATCATTCTGAAAATAGAGAAAAATTTAGCAAATAAGAAAGCAAACGGGAATGGCCTAATCATAAGTACAATCCAAGAATCAATAAGGAGTTAAAGATATTCTTTTTTGTTATTTTTGGCAGGGGTGGGGAAGCGAAGTCAAAGATGGTAGAATAGAAGGCTGCTGCGACCTCACTGACTCCTTAATTTAATGGAATATCATAACAGTAATCTACCTTCGTACTTGATCTTCTATAAACACGACACCTAGCCGCAGATAGTGGCTCAAACTCATTGTTCTCTACTGTTGACGAACCAGAGAGTTCCATGTTTGTGCGCAATAGGAGTCTTGAACCCCTGAAACTCTGTTTCTGATTCTGGTTTTCAAGCAATCCCTTTGCACAAAAGACCTCTGAAGAAGTCTTGATGACAATACCATTATCTGCTGGGGTCCTGCATCAACATCAGACAAATGATATGACATGGTCTACGTAACTGATAATCGTCTCTAAATTGCAACAAATAATCCAGTCATCCCTATAACTTATAAGGGCTATGAACCCCTATTATATATCCCCGATAGGATTTGAGTGCAACCACTTGTAACAATAATAAATATTACCTAAATCACCTCAAAAAATGAAAATGTAGAAAGGATGCTAAGAAAAGACAAAGAAATATAAATATGAAGCAGGGTTGTAGCATTACCTGTGGACTGCACAGTATGTTGTCCATTTGGTGTTGTATATCCCACCCTTTTCTGACGAATGCAGCTGAAAATGAGTGGGAAGGGAAGTGAAATTATGAAGTGTTACACTGTTAATCACAACTATCTAGCAAGGCTTATAGCACAGCCGAATGCATAGATTTGTAGAAGAGAGAAGAATCCACCAAGAGTTTCATATAATAAAGCAAATGATTGGTTGCTTCCAAAGATGTCAAATAGAACTAATGTGAACCATATTACTTGGCATTTTACAATGCCTATGGAACACTGTGGATACATAAGTGCCAAAAAGATCATCCTTGCGGAGTTTAGTATTTTTTGCATTTTCACAGGAACAATAGTTTGTTTGAAATGAAAATCCAAGTACAGAGGTCCTAATAGTCAAAAAACTTATATCACCACATGCGGATACACACTAAAGACAGTTTCAATTACACACATCGAGGATCAAATGCTATATTATATTCTATTAAAATGGAATGATTACAAAGGGTTTCTCAGTTTTCGGGAGACTGAAATCTCTCCCAAAGGCTGTCACCAATCACAAATCAGAATAGAATAATCGACGCCCTCCAAAATCACAGCCCTCCCCCTCAGTTATACTTATTATCATGCTTTATTCATTCCCATCAATGAGAAAACTTACCTCAACACAGTAACCAGCCCGTGAAGCACATGTCGCATGAAAGGAAGTGGCACACTTGCAACACTGTATGCAAGAACCATGAACTTGCTTGCAAATTACACATGCCTACAAGTTTACCCACAAAAAAAAGGCATGATTAGATTATGGCATTTAGTCAATGAATCCATCTGCATGATAATGCTTCTACCTTAACAAATGAATCAGGTGGAATCCTTAGAAGTCCAGCTGCAGGCTCCATCTTTTCATCACTTAGGAAAGCAACCTCAGGTCGGAACCATGCACAGATTACATGAACCCACAAGGTGTCAATATCAGTTGGCTTCAACGCACCTCCTGTAAAAACATAATGCACCAGAAGAAAAAGAATCATCAACAGTAATTCCAAAATTCTGGGAGAACAGGTACCAAGTAAATGACATGCCTTTAACAGGGCAGAGGCAGCACTCTCTATTGACCTCAGGCGTTTCACATGCCCTACAAACCCAAGATGTGAAATCATGGATATTTCGGACTCCATAGCATTCTTGATGAACAGCTATTTGACATCTGGTCCAGTAAAGAAAAAGATATAATTATTCAACTTGAATGATGTAACTTGGTTATGTTTGGTTGCCTTACATGTAGGATTCAGTAACTAAACAAAGATAAAGTCACAGATAAGGAAGACCTGTTGCAGATAATGATTTTGTTAATGTCATAATCTTCATCCCATCTACAAATAGCACATCGTTCGGTTGTCCACTTTGCATAAACAGGTTCGAATTTCTCTGTAGTTCGGGAAAGTTAATAAATTCACAAAATTGTTTTTCACCCTTCAAACAAACATTCATATACTGTAAAGAACAATAAAAGAATTAGGATACAGAAAGATCAGAATTGACAGCATGATTACCTTGAAGAAATGAAAACAACTGTTGTTCATCCAAATGAGTTGAAGCAGCCTTAACATAATCAACATTATAATCTGCAAGCTGCAACGTTAAATGTTACAATGAGATAACAAATGAAAAATATATGTAGTAGTATCATACAAAAAAGAGATGTCACCATAAACTCAAGTGGTACATGATGCAACGTCTTTTAAGAAAGCTATATGAGATGGAGAGGTACAAACCATTTTTTCCAGCGGTACCGTCGAACCCTTCACTTTAATGCTAACCTTCCACTTTTTCGCTCTGGAACCAGTATGGCGTTCCCATTCAGAGGGGGTTTGCTTCCTTGTCCCACATGAACCACACTTGCACTCAATTCTGATGGAAAATAAGATAGAGATAACTGAACATCATTCAAAGTATATGTAACATATTACTAACCAGAAGTGTTTGAATAAAATGAACATGGTGGTTCTATAAAAAAAAAAGTTAGCCAAACCAATAAAATGGCTTTACAATTCCTGTTTTACCGTCTTCCTTAAAGAATAAGGTAAAGTCAAATTTATTACCTACATCTCAAACCATTTTTAGATGTTCAAAAATATAGATAAGCTTAAAAGTTCAAATAGCATTACATTAGAGTCAAGTTGCTCATACAATCTAAAGAAAAAAGAAGAAGGAAGAAATAGTTACTTTCCCTACAACAACAGAAAATGGAAATAACACCTCCCATCAGAATTAAGGTTTTTTCCAAGTGAAATGTGCATAAGTAAGAACAGTTGCACAATATTTAAGGGGAAAAGGCTTGAGAACAGAATTAGATTAGTGATTTCTTTTATTTTCAAACTAGATTAGCGATTTCATTTCATGCTCCAAAGATGACAACTCATTCCAGTTCGAATTACAAAAACAAATAGATCAGATTAGGTCTTACAGATGAAGATTTGGATAATAAATCCCTTCCATGCCATTACAGATGACACTTAATTTGTCAGTTAACATGCTCTGGCTATTACTTTCTGTAGATCTGTTGAACATATATGAAATCATCAGATATAAACCAAATGATGACTTGCAAGTGAGAAAAAGAAAAGGAAAATAGAGTGAACAATTTAGATACCTGAGTTTTGGTTGCCATTTATCTACAGCTAATTGTTCAACAGAAGATTCCCCTTTGCATTCTGGGCAGTAATATTCAATGTTTTCCAGATCCTTCAATCAATATAATCAAGTAAGTTAAAGTAATGTATCAACAAAATTGCTAGTAAATCAGACATACCTTGAAGAACTTGCTGGAAATTTCGGTGCATTCTGCATGTACCCAAATATTACAACCAGAACACCATATCTAAACAAACGAATAACCAAATACAAATGTTAGATGCCCCTGATACTTCAAAGATAAGATTATGAAAACAGCCATAATCTCAATAATGCATACACCTAACCTGTTTTCCTCCATCCGAATGATGCCAAATCCTCTTGCAAATGCCACAATTTTGTCTTGATTTCTGTGACTGCAGGTAAACATATTTGTGAGTAAGTACAGTATAACGTTATTATATTGCAAACCAGAACATAACGAGTCATCTCGGCACTATGACATGTGTTGGAGTGTGACTTAAATCCCTATGTGTGACTTGAATGCGACTTGGGAAGTCGAGCTCAACCTGATCAGACTTATGGTACATGTTTTGGGAGTTGGCTGCGACTTACAGTACATGCTTTTGAGTATACGACTTCAATGTCACAGATGACCGCATATACTTACGGTACACTGTTTGCAACTTGTATCAATTTCATCATGTTGCATGCAAGGCGTTCAGCAAAAATGGAGAACCAGGCAAAAAGGTATGCAACATGGCAAGTTGCCAGTAAGCCGTGTTCAAGCATCAGACAGCTTTTATTACTAGTTTTAGGGCATTTTTGTTGGTCAGTTTTTACTTCTCAACATACACATACAACATAGCTTCCATAATCACGATTGTTGCTACTTCTTCAAGTTTGTAATTACCCCATTGAATGATCGATATAGTGGACCAGTTCTTGGCGTTGCCGGTGGTTTTCCTCGATTGAGTTTTCCACGTAAAAATCCCAGTGTCTCTCTCTCTCTTTTTGCTTTTGCTATTGTGTTTTGTGACTGTTGGTGTTGATAGTTTGTTGAGTGTTGTTTACCTCTATATATTATAGCAATCCTTTCAGTATTGAATTCGACATTGGATGATTTGTGTTTTGGTTGATTGGGACAGTATTAAGATCAACACTAACAAAAGTAGGAGCCTACCTAATGTTCCAACAAATGCCTACAATACAAAGAAATGGGAAAAAAAACCCTGAAACAACTTGCCTTCTTATTGTGGAAATATTCGTGATGAAGATCCGTAGCAGTTCCCACATGGATCTCAATGAGCTCAGATTCGGTAGAATATTCTTGCTTGTCCGCATAGCCAGTATTCAAATAGCCATTTTCTGTAAAGTATGCCTCTTCTATTGCCTTACGAAAATCATCTGGCTTGCAGCCATATAATTGAGTCTGTCCCTGGAATCTGAAAACAAATGAAGTCAAATAAACCATTGAAAACATAATTCCAAGATGCAACCTTTTGGGTGCGTTTGGTAGGCGGAACAGGATGGGACAGGACAGAACAGAACACATTTGTCCCATGTTTGGCATGTGTTTATATGGAACAAGGTGGAACTAACTAGAACAAATATGGAACACGCCTGTCCCTCCTCCCCCCCTGGAACTAAGTGGAACAAGGAAGCATTTTACCCATCTACCCCTAAAATTACAAAACCTAATCACTCTCTCCTCTCTCGTCCTCTCAACTCGTCTGCCTCCATCGCTTCCTGCCTCCATCGCAACTTGTCTCCTTCATCAGATCTGGCTCTCAACTCGTCTCCTTCATCAGACGGCGACCATCGTCTGCGACCATCGAATGCGAGTTCCGAYCGGCGTTCTTCTCTTCTCCACTGTTCCAGACGACGGTACGCTTCCTGCCTCCATCGCTTCCTTCATCGACGGCGACCATCGACGGTACGTTTCTCTTCTCTCCATATCCAGTCGAGGTTTTTCATCGACCATCGACGGCTGCTTCTCGATT